TGATGTGGTAACAAGGCTCCTTCTTCTTTGACAACTGGTATATGCTGAGGTAAATAATCCTGGTAAGGGTCAATGACAGTAACAGTGAGGTTACGGGCTATTCGGAATTTGTCAAATTTAAAGACCAGCAGTACTTTGTGATTTCCAATGTGTCTGAATAAAGAGAAAGTGCAGAGATGATTTTTAGGTATGAAGTACTTTGTTTAAAAACTCATTTAGGTCAATCAACAAATTTGCAAGAATTCAATCTATATTAGTTGAGAGATAGGGAGAAAGAAAAATATATTTACATGAAAACATTAAAAAAAAAACCCAAAAAACAAATAGAACAGTTTAGTTATTTATTTCTATCATTTTATGATGACTGTCGATGTTTTCACAATTGGTATGAACCAACTGATATCAATAAAACTTTTAGGATATATTCATGAGCAATACATCAAGTGAGTTTCAGCTTTTAATGTCTACTCATTAAAAATACTTTTTTTGAGGGTGTCTAGTTTAAATGAAGTAAATGAAGTTCCATTTATTATATAAGTAAATATATATAACCGCATTGTTATTGATATTTATTTTTTAGTTTGTTATATAAGGACTGCTAAAATTACATATAAGGGCTGGTAAATTTTTAGGATTTATTTATATGAGTAATATACCATGTGAGTTTCAGCTTAGAATATCCATCCTTATTCAAAGTATGGTTCACTTTTATTTATAAATTCAAAACAATCATTTTTGGCAATAGTTAGCATTGCTAGATGTGTAAGTTGAGTGATGTCTGGCCCACACCAAGTGGGGTTAGGGATAAAGAATTGAAATGGTACATCTAACTCACTCATGTCTTCTCTCTCCCCCCTCACTTCCTCAATTTTACATATGCTTAATACGGCCCATCAAAAATGTGTAAATTTCTTTTCATTTTAACCTTTGGAAGTAAAGTCTGATGATCCAGAGCCCTTTAAAAGGGCTGTGGTGAAATAATTTATTACATGGAACCTTAAAGTGGTCTGTTTTTATTCAAACATATTTGCTCTGAATTTACATTGAGGAATAACCTAAAATTAATTCCTAAAATTTCGCTTGAAAATGAAACGGGACTAAACACCTCAATTCAACTTAATTTTAATAATTGGATGGTTTCGGCTCTCGTTTTTGAAACATGAGAACTCTTATGTAGCGAAGGAATCATATTTTTAAACAAAAAATATTATTATAATAAAGCTTCTGTATAGGGCACTGTCTTCTTAAAAATAAAAACAAAAATACTAAGGCACCTCGGATTATGCACCCAACGTGTTCTTTTCTATTTTCTGCATACCAAAGATTTATATATATATATATATATATATATATATATATATATATATATTTATTTATTTTCTTTTTAATTCTTTATCCACAATAGCACTTCAAATAGTTTTTTTTTTTTTTTTTGTCTGGAACTAGTTCTTATTTTTCTAAGAAAAAAAGATGTGTTCATTTAACAATATCAGCCCTTAAAAGAGATTTCAATTCTTAAATCTCTGGAATCCTGACCAAATTGTTGAAATGTTCGATGTGATGTTTGTACAATTAAATGGATGTAAAAAATGTTGAAAATCAAGTATTACAAGTTGATTTTGTATGAAATCAAATTGATTTCTCTTTCAAATGATACAAACTTTTACAATATTTATTTTCTACATGATTTTAAAAACTCCAAAACTTTTACAAAAACAAAAAATTTAAAATTTCTGGCATCTCTAATTGATTGTGTGATGGGTATTAATGTTATGTATTGAAATAGTGGCTCATTCAGGAGCTCCAAACAGGACAGTAAGCATGTAAATCTTGCAGGTACATTTGGACACTTCCAGCCTATAGGGTAAAATCTATACTTCACCATAAAGAAAAAAAAAATTCTTAATTTCCTGGGAGAATGATGTGTGTGTGTGTGTGTGTGTGGAATGTTCAATAAGACATAGGAAACACAAGGCAGCTCATCAGGTAAATAGATAAGCCAATCTATTAAAATCCCACAAACTTTTGAATGATAGGCCAGAAAATAAAAGTAAAATTTAAGACAAACTTAAAAAGCAAAAATTCATATTAACAATGACAAGAAATGGATTGTGTAGACAAGTTGATTAGCAGTCACCTCTTTTCGTTCTGAAAACAAAATCCAAAACCTTATGCCTGATCTATTCATTTGAAGGCCATGACAAAAAAAAAAAAAAAAAAAAAAAAATAAAAAGCAGCACTATAATAAATTATGCTCATGATCTAGGTATTTATTTAAATTTTACATTTAAGTTGAGTTGTGAACAATAAGAAATCATCATTACTTACTTTGCATTGCATGAAATATTAACATAGGCAGCCTTAGTAGGAAGCAGGATGAGTTTTCCCTTTACTTCCTCAGTGGATCCAGAGGCACCCTTGGAACTTGCCAGGAATTCTTTTATCACTTTTAAACTGTCCACATGAAACTGAATATTTTCAGCAGGCAACTGGATTTCTAGTAAAGTTTGTGGATGGTTGCCATTGTTTCGAATCCACATAGTAAGTGATTTGTGCTCATCCAGAGACAGACAACCAAAGTCAGAGATTCCACTGATGACAATTCCTTCCTTGTCACGTAAAAGGTCAGCCAAATAGTTGCTGTGAGGTGGGCCATCCATTTGACTTAAAAAAAAAAAATAAAAAAAAAAAAAAAATAAAAAAAAAATATAATAATATTTAAATTAAAAAAATAAGATTAAAAAAATTTCACAAAAGAACCCTGTTGGCATCATCATTAGATGATATATAGAGTGTACACACACAAACACAGAGGTATGTCAGATATTTGGTAATACTTTAGCAGGTGATAAATAGAAACATGGTATGTAGCATATGCTAAATTTTAACATTCATTTCTCTTTGACATATCAAAAGGATTAAAACAGTAGCTTTTAGTCTGATAGGAAATGAAAAGGTATGTAGTGTTCATGTCAGTAACTGTCCAACTTGGAGACTGACAGCTTCTTGAAAATGTTCAGATTAACAGGAAGAATGTCAATGGACACCATAGATGTACCAACAATGATATGCACCAAGTCCATGTCATCTTTGATGGTTCTGGGGGTTGTGAGTAACAATGTCCATGTGACGCCGCCATTTCTTGCAGGTTTTCAGCATCAGTCTCACCATATAAGAAGCACTAGGTGGGGTATCTAGCCCTGGATTGAGAGATTGGCTTTCTCCAACAAAGCCAATGTGACCTAGAGGTGACTGACAGAAAATTTTCACACTCCTCTCAACCTACGGTCACCTCTAAAATGACCTCTCAGCACCCTTGATTTGAATCACTGGACTACTACGTTTCGGACATTGTTGAGAAAAAGACCAAATAACAGAATACTAAGGATTCTCTGAAAGTTGTCGTCATTGACATAATAGACATATGAATGAGAACCTGACCCAGGAATACTGTCACATCTAAAACTAATTTTATTAAATAAATTTTTCCCGAACATGTGCATATTTTTTTTTTCTTTAAATAAACTGCTTTTTCTACTGAATTAGAATTTGTTCAAAATTATCTGACAACATTATATAACTAAAAACAAACTATTGGTAAAGCTTTTTAATACAACCCTACCAACCAGTCTTTGCTTATTTTTTTTTTTGCCTATATTAGTATTTAAGTACTGGTATTGTTTTCTCCTTAGTTCTTGCTGCCTCACAACTGCTATGAAAGAAACTGAGTACCAATTTGAATGTAGTCTTTTTGTGTTTTGTTGGTTAGTATAATATATATATATATATGTATATGATAAAAATATAGTTTTAAGGAATACTATATGCGTAAAAGTGCTCAATATCAGGATAGAGTGTAAGCAAATATAAAAGTGGACACTGAGGCCAATAGTTGCATTCAAGGATGAAAGACGGTTGGTTGGTTAGTTAGTTTTGTTTAGCAGCATATCAACCTCTATGAGTTATTTAATGCTGAAATCTATATATTTTAAACACAATTTTATGGCTTCAACTACAGATAAAATGTATTGTCATTTTGCTATAAAATGTATTATTGGTAATTCTACTATAAATATGTAGTGTTGGTAATTTTTGATATAAAAATGTATTGCTTGTATTTTCATACTTTCATAATGGTTTTTTTTTTGTGGGGGGGAGAAGTTCCCTATTTGTCAATAACTGAGATCGTAACAGATGCTACACCTGTGGGTCAGGGTGGAGCAGAGAACAACAGCAATTAAGTAGTAGTTCCATGCTCTGCAAAACAAAAATACTACTTTACTTAAAAATTGAAAACCGAAAAGAGTAAATAAAAATATACAGTATAATAAATAAATAATAAAAAAACAAAAAAAATAAATTAATCTAAATGCACCCAAATAAATATATAAACTAACAAACTGATCCCAATGAATTAACCATTAGAAAAAAAAATAAAGATAATCAATCCAAATATACATGAATAATAAACAAATTAAAAACTGCTCCTGCCAAAATAATAGAATAAACTACAACAATCAACCCCAAAATTGAATAAATAGCTTTATCTTCCCAAACCAAAGCAAAACTATTAAATAAGCGATATGAGCAAAACTATTAAATAAGCGATATGAGCAAAACTATTAAATAAGCGATATGAGCAAAACTATTAAATAAGCGATATGAGCAAAACTATTAAATAAGCGATATGAGCAAAACTATTAAATAAGCGATAGGAGCAAAACTATTAAATAAGCGATAGGAGCAAAACTATTAAATAAGCGATATGAGCAAAACTATTAAATAAGCGATATGAGCAAAACTATTAAATAAGCGATATAAACAAATTTTTACTACGTTAATAAAAACACCGATTAAAATAAAAACAAAAAAAAATATATACAAAAAAAAATAAAAATAAACAAATAAAAATAAATAATGACAAGCAAAATATTTTAACCCAAATAAATACATAAATGACTTCCGGCAAAATAACCGCCAAAACAGACTACCCACAATGCACCACTGACCCGTATATATAAATAGCAGAGAAAAATAACAGCATTTGTGGCCTGACAATTGTGTCAAGCATGAAACAGACTGTCGCCTCTAAGTGTTGACTGCAATGTTCACTTTTATATATATATATATATATATATATATATAAAAAACACACAGTGTCCACAAAGTCTTTAGACAATTTCAAAAAGTCATTATGAAAAACTTAGAGATGGCAACTAAATTTTTGTTGCATATTAATGTTATTAAAGAGTTTTTAGTGATATCAATAGTTTTATTAATGTTATATTTTTATGTTTTAGATCACAATTAAAGAATTACCAGTTTTAAAGAACTGAATATTGCTTAGATGCCCTTCATGCAATGAATGGGGCCCCATGTAGAAATTTATTAACTACTTGTACATAAAATTCACTATTTACTTCAAATTATGTAAAAATTATCCAGTTTTATTCTAGCTTTAATAAAATTTTATAGTGAAAAAAAAACAAAAAAACCTAGGAGCTCAGCAGCCATTGGAAATAGAAAATTATATTATGTATAAGTGACAAAACTTTCGCACCACCCTATACATTAGTGAAAAATGAAAAATCCCTCTGGTTATTAAAAAAAATAAAAAGATTTAACTTTTGATTTCACTGAATTTACTGCTTGTACACTGAGAATAAAAGCAGAAAGATAATTTAGACAACCATACAACAAAGCTCTGAAGAAAATGCTTATAAATAAGCATCAATTCAATCTGGATGTCCTAAGCTATATATTATGACTTTTACATAGAAAACAACAGAAAAACTAAGTATATACAACAGCTTCAAATTAGAATTTTGAATATAAATTAACATAGTTCAATTAAACAAATGAAAATCAAGTTTTCATTATGCAAAGATTTTTCAAATTTATAAAAAATTAAATGTGACTAATACCAAACTTACTTTCTAGGATTTCGGGATAAACGAGAAACTGATGTTGCCCTCCAACTACACTTTCCCTGATTACTCTCAATGGCTGTGCAGATCACTTGTTCCTTTCGTTGTGCCCGAAATCCGCCGGTGCATGCCTTCAGATAAAAAAAGATCTCCTTGTTGATGTAGCCATGATCCCTGAGGACAGCTGTCACCTCCCCAACAAATTGCTGCTGACGAAGAGGCTGCACATCAAATGCAAGGACCTCAGAATTGCTTTCCCTTAGATCAACAGTCACCCAGTCACCCATCTCGGGTAAGTAACCTTTGACACAGTTCTCTAGTTTAAAGGGAATGTCATCATTGATCAGGCCTTCACCATTATGAAACAGTGTAATTGTGCCGACTCCAGGTGCAAGATCTTCAAGCACTTCAGAAATATTGTTACCACAAGCATTTTTCATTTCTGATTCAACTGAAATAAACAAAAAAGAAGTTCCTATATTTAGGGTTTATAATCATCAACATGGATCAAAGTACAACACATTTTCTTTGATGGTGAATATAGAAAGTCTGAATGAAAACTGTATAATCTGAAAAATCAAAGTAAACTTCTATTACATTCAATTACAAAAAAATTAGTCTTAAAAAAAAAAAAAAAAATCAAAAGTTGAATTTAGAGACAAACTTTATTTAATAATGTTAGTTATGAAATATCTTGTTTATTTATACAACCAAGGGTCGGGATTAATGATACAAAACCATCAAAACTTTCCTGACACTATTGAATAAGGCAAGTGTTAAGTATATTTTAATGACAGACTCTTAAAAGAAACACAAAACACCATCATCATAAATATCCAAGTTGAACCATAATTTACCACCAAATATAAACATCACTTTTATGAAAAAGGAAACAATTTTCTCAAGTTAAAAAGCAAACTACATTTAGCAACTGCAAATTTGATCAAGCAATTAGATTCTGTGTGAAAAATTATAAGTTTCTTGGCAAGGATTAATTTAAGTCAAAATTGTGTTAGGATCAAATAAATGGTATAAAAAACCTTCCTCAGATAATGTTGATTAAGAATATAATAGATTGAATCAAATATTTTTTTGTTTATCAACTTTCATCTAAAAGAATGGAAAAAAGGACAATTACATTTTATTCAATTGTATATTCATTATTATTTGCAATGACTTCTTGCCACTTATCAAGCAGCTCTGATACCTTTTGAGTAAAATTCCACAGGTTTTGATGTGAAAATGTTTTCAATGAATTCTTGAATTTGATTTTCAGTAGAGAAAGTTTCTCTCAAAGAGTGTTGCATCAACTGCAAAAGCAATAATCAGTTGGTGCAAGATCAGTAAATATGGTGAATGCGTTAGAACAGGTCAACTAAGTTCCAAAATTTTTCCTGTGTTATATTTGCTGTATGCAGCCTTGTGTTTTCATGGAGGAGAACGTTTTTCTTTTAATCTACTGTGTACATTGGCTTGCAAAATCTAAGTTCTGTTAGTGTAATGTAAATTTATTCTTAACTACTGTGCATGATTAGGAGCTAGTGATACATTGGTCATAGCAATTGGTTCCCAAAAACGAAAATCACTTATGACTCAGCAAAGGACATCTGGAAAGTAAGGTACTAACATTTAATGAGACATGTTTCTTACTATAGAAATAAGACCTTGTCAATATGCTACCAGTATTACCCTGTTTCTTTTCTGCATGTGCATTAATCTTAATGATGATGTAGTTCTATTAGTACATGAACAAATACCATCCTCAAAGAATTTAGTATCAATGTCAGCAAAATGCACTGATACAAGGGAGGGTAAAAAAAAAAAAAAAAAAAAAAAAACTTACCTATTTTGCCATTCTCTCTTCTTTTTACTGCTTCCTCTTCTTCTGCATGGTCTTCATCATCTGACCATTTAGAAAGGATAACAATTTGATCAGCATACCACCCTCCCTCACGATGCTGTCGGCTAGCTATCACAGATACTTCATCCCCCTCTCGGGGGCGTTGCTTTCCAACAACAACATTGTATGAGAAGTAGACATCTCCATCCACCAAGCCATGATTGCCAAACAAGTTTGTGATTTGTCCATTAAAAGTGCGAGTGTTCTCTTCTCTACATTTTGTACGTTCCCAGCTGGCTGATCGAACAACAGCACCATCTACAGAACTAGTAAAAGACTGGCGGCGAGGGACATCCTCTTTCCACAAAAAGTTGGCAATCTTTGTTATTGCATTAAACATTATTTACAATCTAGAAATAAATAAAAAATAAAATGATAATTAATTGGAATAGAGATTTTTGTGTAATGTCATATCAGCAATGAGACAATCACTATTGTCACTGCCTTTACCATCTAGGAAATACCTTAACCCTAAGACACCTGTGGTACCATTTTAAGATACCAATTTAGAAACTAAATATAAACAGACACTGATTTCTCCAAACAGAAAGAGAAATCTCTTGCCCACAAACTGTGGTACTCTATATGATAACAAGCATCACTGCCATCTTGAGAAGAGCTATGAAACTAATTTTTGTAAGTCTGTTTTTGTGTTCTGACTTCCTTGGATTAAAATGCTATTTGATTCACTGCCATAGTAAAAAGATCCAGGATAAAGTTTCTCAAAAAAGCTCATCATTCACTCCAAGAACAAAGAAATTTCTCAAGACATCATAGCAACTATTATTAACTGATTATTATGCTTGTAAAATACAAATACTTGTACAAATAAAGATACTGAAAAAGACCATTGTTAAAGGCTTCTCTGATTCTATTGTTTTTTTTTTTTTGTATGTTTTGACATAAGCTTAGTTTGGATGATGTTGGGTATCTACACAAATTATTTCCATTGTTAAATCACTGAATTATTGTCTGTTTAAAAGAAAAAAGACAAAACAGAGTGCCATTAATAGTATCATACTCATAAATTTCCCTTTGAAAACCATCTTCCATGAAAACAATTTTTTTTCAAATTTATATAAGCATAAATTTTCACGTCATTTATATTGAAAAGTTATCAAGTAAAAACAAAGAAACTACAGAAGATTCATTAAAATAAAAAATGTAAATTAAAATTAAGTTACCTGGACTCCAACTACCGACAATGGAATACCATATTTGATGACATCTAACCAAACTACATTTAGAGTATTATAAAACATTACTCTATATCACAACTGACTACAGTGCTTTTTCATTAACCCTACTTAGTCAAAGGCAATATAACTTTTCAAACCTTGGTCAGTCAATTTTCTATTAAATACTCTCCCATTAGCTGTTGTAATGAAAGAAAGCAGAATTGTGATAAGGGAAGGCAATCTAGAGTTTTCCATCAAGAAGTCATTCCCAAACTTTGGTTTCTTGTCTTCAGAATTTGTTTACTCTAGATGTTTTGCTGGTTAAGAATTCTTCACTTTGGATTAACTTCTTTTAGTCTTCTGCAAATTCTCTTGCATTCTTTTGTTGCAGGTTGATTGGTCAGTTAGATTTTGTTTAGTGGCATGTCAACTCTGAGGAGTCATTTTACACCAACCAGATGAATACATATTAGATATACTTTTCTCTTTTCCAATAGTTTGGTAGCTACAATTCAATTTAAATAGATTGTTTAATTTGTCATTTTTAACTGTTTAATTCAGTCTCTCTTAAATAACCATACATAAACAATTTTTAAAGGAATTTAAGAATTCCTATTTCTTATATCTGGTCAAGGTCAACATTTTTAAACAATGGTTTTATATTTGAGACATTGTAGTATTTACTACATTTAAACTGATAGCTTTTACATTCAATCAGAATGTGCTTAACTGTCAATCTGTGATTGTAATGAGTGAATTGAGGTACATCTTCAGCTCTTAATAGGTGTACATGAGTTAGTCTTGTATGTCCAATATAAACTATGGTTAGTGTCCTCACTTTGCCCCTTTTAGCACTTTTGTTTTCCTGTCTGACACTTGGTGTTTATAAAGTTTGTTTTCTAGGAATATGTTCCATATTGCTTGCCATTTGCTTTTTATACAGTCAATTTTATTTTTAAAATCTGTATATGGAATTTTTATATTAGTCATTTGCATGTTATAGGATTTTTTTTTTTTTTTTGCTAATTCATCTACTTTATCATAACCCTTTTATGCCAAAACAATGGAATTTTTGTAATTTCACTAGATTGTTATAAATCTCCAGCATGTCTGCAATGTAAGGGTGGTTAGTTGTTTTTTTCTTTTCAGGCAACCAGAGAGGATAGAGAGTCTCTAAATATCACAAACTGAGTGCAGTATAGTCAGGGCATCTGCTATGAAAGCCAGAGATCTTTTTTAGATGAAAATCTTAGCTCTCTTAGAAATCTACAGGTGATGGTCATGGAGCATATGTCCAAAGGTAAAATTAATTATCTTATTAATTACTCTCCATAATATTCCTTTGTATCCTAAATTTGGTTAAACCCTCCCAGCCATTCCTACACAACACCACCCTTTCAGTACAATTAATTTCATTGGTTTAGGTCTCTCATATAGTCACTATTAAGATGTACCCCACTACTTACATGATTTGATAACCACCAATGAAATCTTGCTCAGAAATTTTTGTTAGCATTTTTCAAAAATGTCCCCCCCTTTTTGTATGAGCAAAATTTAAAATTATTGGACTTAATCTATCATTTGGAACAAAGAGATTTCCATTGATAAAATCTAGATGCATTCTAGAGATTTCAAAACCTCATTTTCTAAATTGAAAAAATAATTAAGTACCTCAATTTCTTAAATAAGCTCTTAGTAAGTTCAGAGATATGTTTTTTTTTTAATAGAAAGAGCCTATAATCAATGACTTGTGAAATTATTTTTTATTATAATGTTTTGGGTTGACTAAGCAAGAATAAGTGGTTTGTAAAAAAAAGATTCAGATTTAAATATGAACATTTTACCTCAGGATCTATAGAATGTTTCAACAGTGGAGAAGAGAAAAGGAAAACATTTCTATGGATTTTTGATACTTTCACTTGCTTGCAAAATATAATTCACAAGATGCATTTTAATAACAAGTAATGTTAATTAAATAAAAAAAAAAAAACAAAAAAAAAAACATTCTAATTTTCACTTGAAAAATCCACACTACTTGCAGTGTCATGGTATTACAGAGTTAGGATTGGTACACTGGAGGTTTATGGAATCTGGATAAATGTAAACTTTCCAGATACCTCAGTTTTGCACATTAGTTCCACACCACAAGATATTGTTAAGGTATTTTTGAGGTTGGGGGTGAGGTGTTTGATATGCCAACAGACATGATGGCTCCTTACCAATATGTAATCGCCCACTTTCAATTTTGAAATAAACATGAAAAGTTTGTATTTTTGATTTAAATATTACTTTTCATCTCAAACTTATTGTATACATTAGATTAAGTAGGACTTAGTAGTAGGGAAGAGCAGGAAGTACACTGTGACAATGGACTGCTCCTATTTATATGGGAAGTAACCACATTAGGAGGAGGATTTGAGTTGTATTTGATTTACTCATTTTTCCATTCTATGTATGAGTATTTAATAAACCTTTTCTTGGTTTTCTCTACCTAGTCTACTATTTCTTCCATATTCTCTATGACATTTCTATTTTTGGCTATCTTGAACAAAGACAACATTGGTGACAAAGTCTTCAAATTCACACCAAAATGGAAGATTTAAAGACAGTAATCCTGCAGCAACAATGGCAACTGCAAGAGCAACAAACACAAATGATATTGTTACTCATACAAAAGATAAACAAGACAGGAACAAATGTCTTGTTTACTCCAGACAATGCAACAAATTCAATAGGAGAGTTCACATATAGAGCTGAAGAAGGTTATACCTACAAGGTGTACTTCAGAAGGTACGAAGGAATCTTCAAGAAAGACTTAAGTATGACCAGACGAGAAAAAGGTACAACTGCTTTTAAGGAAGAGCAGAGCATATAAAGTACTCTAAAAAAAAAAAAATAAAAAAAAAAAAAAAAAGATCCCAGAAAACACCAATTTTGACCAGACAGTAACAATGCTTTCTAAAATGTTCGGAGAGAAAAGTTCATTTTCCTATACATTGGCACTGTTTAAATTTAACAAAAAAATGACTTGGGGGTGTGTGATTTCATTACATATGCAGGAGTAGTAAACAGGGAATGTTAAAAATTTAAATCATACAAAATATCCCATGACCAGTTTACATGTTTAATTTTTGTAAAAGGGTTGACTTCTAGTCAGGACTAAAATAAATTTCTGTATCCTTTCAAAGCTAGACGACCAGAAATTATACTGCAAAGCATTGTAGAAGAATGTCAACAGATATTAAATCTTAAACATGATACCAACAAAATTGAAGGCAAAGCAGTATACATTCAGACGGTTAAATGAAAAAGAAAAAGTAAAAATGTAATGATTGTAAAAGCTACATAAAAAAAATTCCCTGACGTTTTTTGGGGGAGGTTTAATAAAACGCACAAAGGCCAAAGCAAGTTTATATCTAAAAGGAGATCATTCAGTTTTTAAACCTAAATGCACTATTCCATATGGCATGGTAGATGTGATAAACCATGAACAAGATAGACTAGAAGTCCTGGGAATCATTACCCCCATCTGAATATGCAGAGTTTTGGATTCAGACTGAGTGACAAAAAAAAATGCAAGTTTTTAATTAGTAGTAGTATAAAATATTTGGGACAAATTATTGATTTGAATGGATGCAGACTGGATACCCCAAAATTCAGTGCTATCAAAAATATGCCTTCTTGAACAAACGTTCAAGAACTACAATCTTTTTGGGGCCTTGTAAATTACTACAATTCTCATATACCCAACATGCATAAATTTTGTTGGCCATTAAATACTTTATCAAAAAAAAAAAAAAAAAAAAAAAAAAAAAAAAGATACACATTGAAATTGGTTTTCATAATTCCAAAAGACTTTTGAAAAAATAATATTTTAACTTCCAATTTATCACTGACACATTTTGATCTCAAGTTAGACATTTTTACATCAGATGCTAGTGATTACAGAGTCAATGCTGTTATTTTGCACAAATTAAGATGGAAGAAAAAAAAATTGTTCATGCTTTGAGGATTTAATTCAAGCCAAAAAAAGTCAAATAGAAAAGGAGGCATTAGCAATTATTTTTGCCATGAAAAAATTCTATAAATTCATTCACAGCAGAATTTGTGCTAACC